GAATGATGCTAAAACATGACGCTTCCTCAAACCTTCAATTCCTGCTTTCACCAGCGTCACTGCTCTGTCACACCCTTAAATTTTAGTGATTGGCTAATTTTGAAAAATAGGAGTATCTTAATTAGATATTCCTCCACTCCGCTTAAAGCTTACAAGCGTTTAAGGATTTTTGACTCCAACGTATTTCTGTCAGAAAGTGACAAATGCTTAAGTGTCGGTTGGGCCCTAAAAACTTCACTCTTTTTAAGTTATGGCATGTACAAACTGCCAAGTATGAATTTACAAAGGATTTCTTTACCTTATTCTTTAACACAGCTTTCACTAATAAACCTTTGAAGGGTGTCTTCCTGTCTCTTGTTGTAAGCTTGAGAAATCGCTTTCTCTTACATACAAGAATTGACCATGTTTCACTACCCTTGTTCACTGCATTTCATTTTGAACAATTACGCTTTCAAATTTATAAAGTTGATTACCTAAAAAAATTTGCGTAGCAGTGGAACGGTTACAAAAGATCACATAAACAATTTAAATATGAAGCTAGCAGACATTTCAAGAACAAATAAGTGGAATAACTCAAGGATACAATTAATAACATTAACAAAAACATTTAAAAACAAGAGTATAAGAGACATATATATTAGATAAATACGATAAATGATATAAACTCCGTCTCAAGTGCAAACAATTTATTTTGTGTCTTTGATCTTGCTCTCTACACTACATGTTTCGGCCTCAGACGGCCATCATCAGGTGTATAACACTCACATCGCTGTCACACTGCACCCAGTTCAAAATTTAACATCTACAACACTCTCCCTGTCATTATCAACTTCTACTTCGTTGATAGCTGTCCACCCGTAGATTACTTCACACACGTTAATTTTGAGTTTATTGTAATAGCACCATAATAAAATCTTTAGTTCTAATTTTAAACCTTTAAATTCTTGTCCAAATTTTAAAATTTTAAAATTGTTAGGGTTATTCGCCCTGTGTTTGAAGTGCTGCAGCGGCTAGTTCTTGTTTCCACACTGTATACGTGAGCACACGTAGTAAAGAATAGCAGCGGCACGCACACAGAAAGACTACACAGGATAACACCTATACAGTGTGGAAACAAGAACTAGCCGCTGCAGCACTTCAAACACAGGGCGAATAACCCTAACAATTTTAAAATTTTAAAATTTGGACAAGAATTTAAAGGTTTAAAATTAGAACTAAAGATTTTATTATGGTGCTATTACAATAAACTCAAAATTAACGTGTGTGAAGTAATCTACGGGTGGACAGCTATCAACGAAGTAGAAGTTGATAATGACAGGGAGAGTGTTTTAGATGTTAAATTTTGAACTGGGTGCAGTGTGACAGCGACGTGAGTGTTATACACCTGATGATGGCCGTCTGAGGCCGAAACATGTAGTGTAGGGAGCAAGATCAAAGACACAAAATATATTGTTTGCACTTGAGACGGAGTTTATATCATTTATCATATGGAGTGCAACAGGATGCTTAAATATAATATTAGATAAATACATTTAAGAAGAGTGACCAACCAAGAATGTATTTGGCAAAGGATGAGAATATGCCGGCAGGGTCCCACAGTGTTTTGAATAAGTGGAAGAATTACTTCTGTCAGCAACTGAATACACATGGGCTTCATTATTTAAAGTGAAGTAAAAAGTAAAACTATCCCTGTAACAGGCCGTGAAGGCCCATAGGGTTGTGAGACGTTGAGGGCCCTACATTATCTAGACAATTGGCTCATAGATGGCAGTAAGGTTTTCAGCCTTACACACTGGCTGCACTTTACTCCCCAGGAAAATTATTTAATTAATTCCTGGTACTCATTTCTGTTAGAAGCTGAGTTGACCCCAGGGCCATAGTGTGGCTGGAAGGATTAGGTCAATTAAAAGAAATCCAATCGGGACTTGAACCCTTGACCTTCCAACTTGTAGCATAATGCCTCAACCAACTATGCTACCGCGTGCCCCCTTCATTATTTAAAGCAGACTGAAATACATACAATTTTAACTGTTACTATCTTAGCCCAACTCTGAAGTTGAGGTTAAGATGGAATGTTGAAGAGGAATAGGCCTAAACTGCCAAGTATCATAAAATTGTGACAGAATTGATCCAGGAAAGAGGTGAAACAGAGTCGGGATAGTGCAGTTGGTATAGCAACTGGCTATAAGCTGGATGACTGAAGGGTCAGAGTTCAAGTCCTGGTACAGTCAAGAATTTTTTTTCCTCTCTGTCCTCCAGACTTGCTCTGGGGCCCACCCAACCTCCTATCCAATAGGTACCAGGAACTCTTTCCCTTGGGGTAAAGCAGCCAAGGCATGAAGCTGACCACTCACCTCCAACTAGTGCAGAGGTCAAGAAAATGTAGATCTATGCATCCACTCCTCTATATGTCTTCATGGCATAATGTTTAATTGGTTAAGCACAGGGACTTTATCTTAAGAGATGAAACATTATATTATGAGATCCTTTAACTTAATAATTCTATTTGGAATAAGGACACCTTGTCAAAGTAGTAGAAGGAATCTGTTCTTGTAGCTCTTTACAAAAGAGGTCATAAGGCTGGTTGTAGTAATCACAGAGGATTATCACATTATAAAATACATATAAAGCATTATCCAGCATCCATTTCTCAGGTTTACCTCCAAATGTGGATGAAATTATTCAAGATCATCAGTGTAAATTTCAACTAGATGACTACTGATCGAAATTGCATTTGCAATCTCTCTCCCTCACTCCCTTACTCATGCACGCGCATACACACACACGTACGTATACACACACACACACAAAATTTGTTGAAAGCAGATGCTTTAAAAAAATGAAAGTGAATTATACAGCCAGTTTCTGGCATTTCAGATATAATTTAATTGTGCTGGAAATTTTTAAATCTTGTCATATAATTCATGTATTAACTATCCTCTTCATACAAATGTTCATTTCTTCATCTCAAAATTCTTCTTTTCTAGTTAAATTTTGTTTGAAAAGAAACAGATAATCAAGATATTTCATGGAGGTTTTGAAAATGTACACATCATCCCTTCTAAATATGACCCACCAGTCAGTTCTCAGTCACAAAATGTAACTGCTATCACATAACGTATCAAATTATATTTATGTGAGAACAAGCAATAGTAAGTATGTAAATGTAGAAGTTTTAATGACAGCCCACTCCTTAAAACAGTTACAGAATACATTATTAGACTAGACTGAAAAGTGTCTACTTATCTCCAGCTGTCTATGAACTACATAAAATATTTATGGTTATTATTAATATCTACATTACAACATTTAATTTCTAATAAATTCTTTTTAATATTCTTTAGAAATGTTCATATATATTATTTTGTACCCCAGTCTTATTTTCCCTAATATAATTTTCGTTAGTCATGTGACTGGGTATGTTTCTCTGTGCTGCTGTCTACAAATCATACACTAGCATACTTCATGATATATAAGGAAAAATAATTTTGGTCCCTGGTTAATGTACTATAACTGTACTGCATTATACCATTCATTTGGTATGTTTTCAGTGACCAGTATAATAAATCTGTTTTTAGCAAACCCTCCCTTCATCATATGTATTCCACATTTCATGTATGCTGTAGTGTAATGTGCTCTCGGGTAATTTACTTGTTGACTTTTATTGAAGAACTTCACTGAACTTTCTTGATTCAGTTTGATATGAAG